GGGGGTCGCCGGTGCCCATGTCCAGCAATCACTGTGCGAGGGGCGGGGTACACCCTGGACAGGTCGCAAGTCCATCACAGGGCCACATAGAGACAAACAAGACAAACAACCATTCACTCTCTCACTCACACCTAGGGACAATTTAGAGTTACCAATCAGCCTAACATGCATGTTTTTGGTCTGTGGGAGGAAACCGGAGTACCCGGAGAAAACCCACGCATGCACGGAGAGAACATGCAAACTCCACCCAGGAGGCCCCTGGACCGGGGTTTGAACAAAGGACCTGCTCGCTGAGAGGCAGCAGTTCTACCAGTTGCGCCACCGTGCTGCCCTATCAAAATATCCAAACATGTAGCAAAAAAATATATAATTTATTTTAAGTTCTTTGCATTTGCACAATTTTTTCTGTGCAGCTAGAAACAGCAATTTTTTTTGTGTGATATTAAAATGGGATTGTTGCGCATTACAAAACTGACATGAATTGCCAGCAAGCATTTAGTTTGTGTTTAAGGCCTGCTGTATTTTAGTCTATAATATTAACCCAAACACAACCACGGAAACACTGTTTCAGTCCAGGCCTGCAGGAATGCAGAGGAATATTGAGTACTCTGTAAAGTGTTCACTAACAAACAGCAGGAACTACAGATAGGCTTGCATGAAAAATTAATAAGCTTATCTATTGGACTCCACAACAACAGAGATTTGTTTTATTAATTTCAGCCACAGCCCTTTTTGACGTGGTTCTATGTAGATGCAGATTGTGGTTAAGATTTGGCTTTAGTTTGTTTTTTAGTATTATGTATTTTTTAAGGGAGTTGCTTGTACAAATGTAAGAATACACAATACAAACAGTGGAAGTTATTTGTGTACAGTATGTGTGGACATGTGTGGGTGGATAGTGAAGAGGAGAGATGAGATGATTGGCAACAAGTTTTTTTTTTTGCTTTTTGTTTTTAAAGCCGGTTGCTGTTTGTCAGGATGGAATATTGTCTCTCTGTTTCACTTTTATTCTCCTGTAGGTTACAACAGAGCAATTACTGCAGTCTTTCACTTGTCTTTCTGAGAAATATTTCCCCTGAAATCTAACATTCATTCTTTAGTTTTATTGTTACCAACTAATCTTGGTGTAGATCTGAAAGAGCTTGATTATTGCAAAACAACAAATACAATTTAAGCAAAAAGCAATATAGCCCAACAGCTCCATGAAGGGAAGTTTTGACTTGATTACAAAAGCTGAAAAGGTAAAAGTGGTTTAGTCATTCAGTTTTATGCAATAGTTTTTCCTAGAGGCAGTAGATCTGACTACTTTAGAAGTTACTAACAAGTTCATTACATCTCAAATATTCCATCCAATTTCAATATATTTTTTGACTTTTTGATTCTCTTTTCTTTCCAGCTTCTCTGTGTAACAGTGCCAGCCCCTACCATGAGGTCTTGCGGATGGAAAGACGTCTGCGCTCCTCATCTGAGGGGGCTGGAGGACCTCGTGTCCATGGAAACCACAGGGATGCCCCAGGCATGGAGGGATGCGGTCTGCTCAAACACAGAAACAACTCCTCATCATCTAAGCTAGGAAGTCTGGTAAGCCTAAAGGTCATTGTGTGTGGGGTTCTTTATCTGAACCACAAAGCCCCGAAATTTGTACCGTGAATACTAATGGACTGTTTTTGTGCACACGACTTGCTTCTGTGTTTTGGGCTTTGCTCAGTTATTGTGATTACACACTTCTAACAGCTCTATCTATTAATTTATTTTAAAAAGGACAGTGCATCTGTATAACAGTTGACATTCTAATAAAGATGTCAAGAGGAGGTATATTAGAGTAAAGATAAGACTACACACACACACACACACATGCAGAACATGTTCAACAAGGCAAAGAAATTAGAAATCCCATGTCATGTCTGAGTTCCTCTAGTTTTTTCTGCTTTGTGTTTTATGTGTATTTGCAATAGAAAATGTTTAAAGCAGTAAACTTTGGCACAAAAAACATTGAAACCAGAGCCACTGCTCCTGATCCAGTACTAGGAACAATAAACATACAGCTTACGTCACACAGTGAGCTGTCATTTGAGCAACAAACAAGCCATTGGTTCGTCTGCTGATGTTTTTGTGAAATCACAATTATATTCAATGACCAGAACTACCGTTTTATAGGTTTTTAGACTTGTATGTTTCAGATTCCTGAGCTGCATCTGTTACTGAAACAATTACAAAACTTCAGTAAGCTCATTTAATTAAAAGAAGCAATATGCGAACTAAACGAGCATGACATAAACAATTAGTGATTTCATGGAGCTCACTGTCGCTTTGCTGATAAAAACAAACAAATGAAGCTTTTAATAACCTAAATCCTGGTAGCTCCCCAGCAGGGCGTCAGCTGTTTTTTGTACACAACTTTTCAGTGTAGACGAGTGCTGTTTATAAGTTGGTTCACTTTTGAAACAATGCAGGAAAGCTCCGATTTTTGTGACTTGATTAATTCAAAGCATTTTACAACACTTCAGTAGGAACCCTCATTGCCAAAATCAAAACAAAAATTACAATAATGAGGGGAGTCACTAACAAAGCATAATAAACGTGAATAGGATCTGTGTTTTCAGACTATTCAGACTTGTAAGTCCTATTGCATTCATCGTCTGCAGAGAACAAACAAGAGATTCAAACATCCTAACTGCAGATGTGTGAATAATTCTGATATATTTAATATCCAAATATGTTTGACTCCCCATGCTTTTACCCAAAGCATGCATAGTAGTTTTCTCATGGAGAAACTCTTCACTTGATTACCAAATTGCCATTGCATCGACACAATGACTTCCATTCTTACAGTTTAGAGTGAGTGGGTGCAATTTGGCCACAATTACAGCCAGCTGCTTGCATACACTTATTGATTTCAGTCATTACTGATGCCTCTGACCGTGAAATATTAAAAGTATTTCTGAACACCATCACAGACCGCTTGTTTTTTGTCTCTCCATCACAAAATGCACCAACACACAGCTTGGACAGATTAGCAAACATTTATGAAAACCCATTGAGTGGTGGTTTTACAGACAGTAAGAGAAAGTAGAAAGTAGTTGAACCAAATAATACTTTTTAGAACTAGAAAGTTCCTGGAGAAACTTGGACAGGGGCTGACATGCGGCAGCCTTTTGAAAATTTTGATTTGACAGTATTATGTGTTGGGGTTCACTCTCAGCTACCACTAACCTAAATTTCAGCTCAATATGGCACAATATCAGTGAGTGAAAGTCTTTTTTTATTTTAAGTCATGGTGGCCATCTTGGATTTTTGATTTGATTTGCAACCAATATCTATGAAAAATGACAAATAAAAATGGCATATTTGTTTGCAAATTACGTCGCCATGGTAACTCAAAACACCAATAAAAGTAATAGCACACATCGCGGTGCCAAGCTGGTCGTTTTGATATAACATTTGTGGATATACACACTGCAGTTCAGGCTGCATTAAAGTTGATGGAAGAGTGATATACAAAGTTAAGAAACCCTTTGTTAGGTGGATAATAATATGTGGCTGCTTTACTAGGTAGTCCCCTAAAAGAATCTTTAAACGTTTAAACAAATTACTAGCATAATTAGAAAATATGTGACAAAAGGGGTGTTCCTGAATTTAAAGCTATTTAAGGATAATATAGCTATATGAAGCACTAGAAATACTCCTTCAGGCCTTTTAGCCCCTGTGTTTGTTTTATCTGCTCGCACACATTGCAGTAGTCTTTGTTGACGCATATTTAGCTATAACCATTGTTGTTTTTGGAAATGCTTGTAGCGACTACTGGGCTGGATATTTCACAACACACAAGGAAGCTCTATGGAAGTCAAGGTGGTTCAGATCAATCCTTTTCATTCTACTGGAGAGTTAAAAGCTTCCTGGAAAGAATAAACATGGTGTGTGAATACAACAATTCATTGCTGTGGATTGTACAGGCTGCAGCGGCCTCTTGACGTCCACTTTACTAAACACGGTGTAATCTTCTTCTTTCCTTCATTGTGCCCATGAAGTATCCTTCAGGGCTTGAGTAATGGAGGAAAGTTAAGAGCCAGGGAGTGTATATTAAACTGTATCCTGCCGCTCCTCCATTCATAAAAGTTTATCGTCAGCTTAATGCACTTATTGCTAATGATAAAATGCATTTAGACAGCCTAGTTTTTCCTTTAACGTTAACAGCGTGTAATGTGTTCAAAACAAATAAATGTATGCAATCAATAACATCTGTATGAACTCATGACCACAGTGCGTATATGAATATAATAATCAGAATGCTCTGCACGTTGTTTGTGGATTTACCATGGGACTGACTGGTGTTTTTGTGATAAGGCCTGTTCACTTCAACACCTGTGCAAAACTACACAGAAACACATTAAAGCATAATAATCTTCCAGGTGCATGTGCTTTATTGATGTTTTTTTTTTATATCACAGCCCAAACAGATTATGACTGTCATAAAGCATATCAAGCTTCAGTTTGCATTGAGGAATGGTTGATTGATTTAATTCACCAAGAACGACTGGCAAATTCACAGAAGCAATTGCTACTGTGAAGCGAGGCAGGCTTATGTTTGTTCACGCAGTTTGGAGATCTCAATCTAGTTGTCTGATTTTAAAAATGAAAAAAAAAAAGTCCCTTTGAGATGCTGCAGGACTTTTTTGTTGCCAGCATATTCAAGACGATTGTGATTACACTCAAGACATGCTCACAAAACATTGTCAAGAATCTTTCCTATCTCAGAGACAGACCAACTTTGAACACGCACTTTTGTTAGCGCTTGACTGACATTCAGTATGTGACAAAAAGTTCAGCTACAATTCACTTTACTTACATCTACATTTCAACAATTGCTTAGCAGCTTGCTGGCTGACAGTGCTGCAATGAAAAACACCCCTTGCTTTCATACTTTTCAATATTTTTGCAGCATTATAAAAGCTAATTATTACAAAAAAATCTTGTTTTAATCGCACAACAGATGAAGTTTCTCTTTCTCCCTGATACAAATGATAAAAAAATACAAACAGATGGCTGAAAAACAATGAGGATATTTGCACACATTAGTCTTTAATACACACTTTGTTCCTATGAAAGCATCACAAATATCTTTCACCCAACAAATATGTTTTTTTTCCCCCCAGAGAAAATGTGCAGACCATTTTAATTGCTTGTAGTCTCTGTAGATAATTTGTGATTGATGAAAATGTGATCACGAATAAACACAATGTTCTGAGTTACTGGTTAGATGTTGAATATAAAACACGTTACTTCTTCAGGATACATTCCAAACAGGTAATGTGTAGTCAATGCCTTATCCAGCATTTTTATCTGTCCTTACCTAATGTCTGGATAAAATAAATAAATAAATACATAAAGATACAGTAGTTTATTGATCCCATGAGAGAAATTAGTTAATTTAAATTAAGGCATGCACATTTAACTAAAAATGGTATAACATTGGTTAGAAACAAAAATAGAAACACCAAAGTCCAGGTACAAACCCAATAATGTTCAGTCAGGTCATCTGGACAGTTTCTTTTTTTGCTGAGATGTTTCATCCTTTATCCAAAGGACTTCTTCAATCTGAGGAGCCACCAAACAAACTGATTTCCACAAAACAGCATACTTCACAGTGGAACAAAAACAGTTTGCTGGTGCTAAGATGGCCTCCGGGGCCCGCACTCTCCCCCGTAAACTCCTCTGAGACAGTCGTGCCAAAGTGGTTCATGTGATCTCAGTGGGATTGGCCTGGTTAAATAAAGGTTAATAAATAAAACACCAAAGTTCATGCTCATTAATCCAGGTATAAAATCCAACAACGTTCAGTCAGGTCAGTTAGCTGACTGTCTCAGAGGAGTTGGCGGGGGAGAGGGCGGGCCCTGGAGGCCATCTTAGTGCCAGCAAGCTGTTTTTTTTCCACTCTGGAGTATGCTGTTTGTGAAAATCAGTTTGTTTGGTGGCTCCTCAGACTGAAGAAGTCCTTTGTACGAAGGACGAAACGTCTCAGCCAAAAAACAAATAAACTGTCCTGATGACTTGTCTGAACATTGTTGAAAAACATACAGTGTCAATCAAGTTTGTAATGATATTAATATATATTTTGCACTGGGCTTTTGACTTAAGTATCTAAACTTTAAAGTAACAATATTTATCAAAGATGTAAATGGTATTTGCTTGCTGTGGAATGACTAACAATGCTGCAGTGACCATAGTAATTGCTAGAAAACGACAGATGTCAGGTGATAAACTGTGAGAATGAGGGCAAACTTTTTTCTGTGTGGCTTTAATTCAGCCAACAGATTTCTAATTTGACTGGACACTCAATCCTTTACGCCCTGAGGTGAACTGTAAACACAAGTGGCTGTGAAGTGCCTGTTCAGATAAAATGAAGTCGTTTGTTAGTTCGTATATTTTCCTTTGCTAGAGGCCATAATACCTGGTTGTGAAGTAAAATGGCTCTCCCTTCATCCTGATGCATTAGACACCTTAAGCACTGAAAACATGTAATTTTTTATTGACTGAATTTGTGATTCAGCCAAAGCATGAACCAAATCTGTGGCTTTAGAGGGCTAGAACAGATCTCTTTCTTTTCCTGATCACTTTTCTGAATGACATTTTGGTTGGCAAGCAAGAGATAATGAAACTAATATCTTTATTAACTCGAGGAATATCCTCAGTCAATTCACATACATGAAATAAAAATGTGACATCGTGTATAAAATTATACTACTGTGGCTAGAGAGGTGCATTAAAAATGGCAATTTAACTTCATATGCTGTGTGTAAGCTGTAGTAATAAATATGGTTTACATTTATTTTCCAATATCTTTTCAGCTATTATCTTCAATAACTGAAGCGAGCTCTTCTTAGGTGCAATACATCAATATTTTTTCTTTCTCTGACATTTACCACAGTAAACTTCCATTAAAGGGGACAAACATCATCGTAATAAAACATTTCCAGCCTAGGCTAGTTTCACACAGGTATTGCCTGAGAAAACAACAATTTAGCTGGATATTCAGAGGTGTGTCTCAGTCGTCTGGAATGTCAGTGGCTCTTGCTCTCAAACAGGCGGAGATCGATACAGACAGTGGCCTGGAGGTTGTTTATGTTCATATAACTGTAATGTGAGCTAAACAGAGTTGGTTATTGGATTTTCTGATCCCTCTGCAGATATTCTAAGATTATGGCTTGTTGTACTGCACAGAAGTTCCTGCAGCATCTCCCAGTCAATAGGAAGGGTTCTTTAAAGCTGCACTGAGATGCAGTTAGCAATTAAACACTTTTAAAGTGTTACAGAATGTTGTCTAAAAGGTTGTTTGAGGTGTTAGATGGTAGTCAGAGCCCACAAACTCAATACTGTGTTGTATTACTGTAACTGGTGTGGCCAGAGGGCTGCAGACCGCCCACATAAAGAATACATTTATCATGCAGATTTCTAGTTTTATTTGTGTAGAGTTCTGTGTTTCTGTTTTCTTTTATCTTAACATAACTTTGATGAAAAGTATATAAAAAACAATAAAGATTGTGCACCAATGCATGAAATTTTAAGTACGAACTTTTTATGTATGTGTGTATATGTGTTTTTGTTGTTGTTGTTGTTGTTGTTGTTGTTGTTGTAAAAATTAGACTTCCTGCTACAGTTGTTTACATTGTTTACATTAGCTTCTATATTAGGTATTGACGTAATAATATATTTGATTTTTAGTCCTTTTTTGCTCCTTTTTTTTTTGCTTTTGTGTTTAAGGGATTATTTCAGGGCCTTTAGATGGCAGCATTGATCTTTGCAATGCATTTTATCCAAAATAAACTAAAATTTTTTGCATTCTTATAAAAAAATGAAGAGATATCATTATTTAATACTGAGTGTTGCTTGCAAGTGATGTAGCATGACTCCAGCAGCTCTGCTAGTGTTGCTCAGTTAAGACCTAAAACATTCAGAAAAAAATCTCAGTTTCTTCTTCTAACCCATTTTTAAGCTACATTATGTTAGCTTGGTTTTTGTGTAATAACCAGGGCTAGCATGGGTAAAGGAATGTTTATGAAACATTTGAATATGTTCACATGTTATTAGTTCTGAGTTTATAAAAAATGAGTTACTTGACATGTACAGTAGGTGTGAATTATAGGATGTCAGCATTAATAGATTTCTTTGGCAAACATATTACATTGTTTTTAAAACAACATTTTAAATATATTAGATCATTAAGATCTTTTTATTCTTTGTTCTTTTCTGATGATACAGTTTGAAAACTTTCATAACAAAATAATGGTTTTGTTTTCGTGGGAATTAAATACTGTTGAATGGTGAAGATTTTCTTGTTTGCTCAGCAGCAGGTTTTCTCTTGTCAAGCCTAGAGAGCTAACAGATGTTACACAGAACAACACAGGCACATTTGTCATATTCATTTGTTTGTCAGATTAAACTGTTATTTTCACTAAACAAGAAAACAGGCAAAAATACTTTTATGAATTTGAACGCATTGATGAATGACCTCATTGGTAATTGCAGACATGGGAATAGAAACACAACAACAAATAAACTTATGTTGTATTAAATATTTAATAAATATGTGGTATCAATTCCTGGAACATAGATCTATACATTTTTAAAACCATCAAGATTATATTAAAAAAACAAAACAAATCTGAACAATTTCATGTAATGATGACACAATAAAAAAAACTGTTTGAGTTTTACCTGGTTTTGTTTGCAGAATAGGATTAAAAATAACCAACCAAACAGATGATGCCCCCCATATTTTACAAGAACAACTTTTAATTGTTTATTTGCTGTCAAAAATGCAGGAGACCAGTGTTAATCAGTTTTAAAATACATTTTTATTTTCTGCTTATTTTATTATAATGCATTTTTTCTTGACATTTTTCTAAACAGGATGTTTTGAACAACCTGGGTTCATCAGAACTGGATGAAGATGACCTCATGTTAGATCTGGACCTCTCTGATGATCAGAGACATCGCCATGGTATCTTCTTAACTCAATTTCATCATACACACAATACATTGTTTTACTTTTTTATATGCATAGTTGATTTCTAAAAAAAAAAAAAGCCACACTTCACTGCTCTAACAACAATAGAACTATTCTTACACAAAGATTTATTTATATTTTTCCTCCATCTGTGCAGTTAAATATTTGCTCATACATTCTCATTCTGTATGTCAGTTTTTTCCCCACGTGCCCTGATTTACTTCTCATTCCTGTCGTCGCTGTCCCCGTCTGTCACTGTTTTTTATTAATTCATACTAGTTCCATCACTTATTATATGAAACCGGTATTCCTTCAGCTCCTTGTGACACAACTTTGATCTAACTACCTCATTCACAGCAATTTATCTCTTTTGTTGTTTTGGCATTTCAGTCACACTGACATTCTTCACAGTTGGAAACTGACTGTCATTGCTCATGTCCTTCAGTGCAGCAAGGACTTCCAAATTGTAACTTCAGCTTTCATACAACATATAAAGATTTTTATTGTGGCGACTAAGTGCATTAGACTTCTATAACACTCCATATAAGAATGTTACGTTGAACTTGATTAAACAATCTCTTGATGCGTTCATCAGTTCATTTGTAGCACATTCACGTCATATGTGAAGGTGGTGATTCATTTTTCTGTTGTAAATAGATGCAGTAAAGTTAAATAATCAACTTTGTAAACATTAATTACAGGAGAATCACAATAAAATGTCCATTTCATAAACAACTGTAAATACTTTCATTATGTTGCTGATTGTTTTACATGCAATTTGCATAATTTCAAAGAGGTCACTTTTTAAGTGGGATTGTATAAAATAATCATAAGCAGTCAGTATATTACCTGTGAACAGAAGTCGAAGTAATCGGTTTAAAGATGCTTTTGAAAGACTCAAGCTAATAGCTACTCAAAACATGATCCATACAAGAACAGATTTTTTACCATGTAAACCAACTCAAACCTAGATTTATTTTCTAAGTTCAACCAAACATAGCCAAAGCAGATTTAGTAAAAAAACAAACAAACAAACAAAAAAACACCTTTCTTGTGTAAAAAAACAAGACAAAACAAAACATGGTCTTAATTAAAAAAAAAAAAAACATTTAAAGTGTCAGATTTTATTTACAAAGTAAGGTAAAGTTTGAATTACAGTCACATTTAATGTTTTGGTTCGAAGCTGATCACCCTCTGCATGATCTGTATTAAGTCCTGCAATGGGTGCACATGTTAACGAGGGTTTTTTGAGCGAACTGGGGTTTAAACAGAGCCCCCATAGAGTTGCACAAGATAATGAAAGCATCTCAACAGGCGCCGGCTGATAAAGAGCTAAAGGAGGCACCGTCATTAATACACACTAGCACACAAGCATGCATGCTTAGTCATTAGACCTAATGGTTTGCAGACTGTAGCATCAAATTAAAGGTTTGATGAATTATTCTCATAAAGTCAAGGGACTAAGACTTTGTGCTTGCAATAAAAGAATAAGGTTCTTCTACATAATCAAAGTGAGTCAGTGAAAGGCACGCGCATGCACTCGCTTTCAGGCTGAATGCACAGTGAAGACAACTTTAGAAACCTGCACAGGCAACTATAAAGATATATACACATACATTCACAACAGGATATACAGTATATACCCAACCCACACGTCTACACACTCTCATTGGTGCTTCACATTTTTACCTCTCTCTTGTGGCCTGTTGAAGCCTTTATTAAAAAGAAAGCTGTTTCACTGCAATTTATGGCCAACAGCGTTCAGCAGCAGGGCAGAAGTCACACAAGCTCACAGTAGAAAGTTGGTAAAGGTGGGAAGAATGTAGAAAGCTTTACTTTTGTCACTTTACTTAATTCACTCTCCTCTACAGGAGCATGTAAAATGTGCCATTAAAAACAGACCTATTACTAATTTAAACAACATTTAAGTTTTGACAAGACAATTCGTCTAATGTTGTGATTATGAATGTGTTTGGATGGGTTCACAGTGTCCAGAGAAGACTCAAGCCAGTCTCTGACCTCCTGTCTGAACCTGCTCCCCTCTCCGTTGGACCCACCTGGAGATCGCATCGCAGGAAAAGAAAACAGTCCGAGGTAAATGTGTGTGCAAAAGTACGACACATTCTCAGGGATCCCACAGAGGAGTCAAAACACAAATCAATCATGTTTTAAAGTTTCACATCGTTGCCATGCTAGTTGTGATTTATTCATTATTTTTGTCTTGAGCTTTTAAAAGTCAAATAAAGTAGTTTAGTGTTAAGGGTGAATATGGCTCATAATTTAAGAAAATTTGAGGACTCTTGAATACCATTAAAGAGCCAAATGAATGTCTTTTCATTGAGCATGCTTTCAAAATTACTGTATTTAGCAGTTTGGTTGTTTCAAACATCTTGGAGAGATTGTCACAATTCGTCCGAGAAATCCAAGAAATGTGGATTTCCAGTAAACTCTTTTTGTCCTTTATTCAAGTATTTAGGGGGAAAATGGTGTTTTTTACACTATATCGACAACCTCTACATAGGGCTGGACAATAATTCGATATTGATATGTCACAATATACTTTTATTCAATAACGGTGATATGAGTTTTAAGCACATTTTCAATATTTTGATATGATTACAGAGTTTCGCTGACGCATTTCTTTTTCTGTTCGGGTTGAAGCGGCCGCTTCAGTTTCAACCCGGACAGAAGAAGGTGCGACACAACTACGCAGCGCTCGAGTCCAGAAGGCGTTAGTAGTAGCAGGCTAGGCCAATCTCCAACGTACGTTAAGTTTTTGCTTCAAAATGAGTGCCCATGACCTTCAGAATGTGACTGAACAAGCTTTCACAAGCGAAGAGAAAGCAGATGACACAATTGATAAGAGAGGAAAGACTAATTTGGTGGTTTGGAAGTGGTTCATCTATCTAAAGCCCCTTTTCCATAGCTCCTCTTTAGCCCGACTCGACTCGAGATCCGATAAACTGCAGGTTTCAGTGTGCTGCAAAATGTGACGGAGAGTCGTTCCAACTAGCAGTGGGAACACATCTAACTTGTTTCATCTGAAGAGTTTCCACTCGATAGAATATGCTGAGAGTCACAAGATGAAAAACCATAAAGTTTGAGCCAATGTGTCCCTGAAACAACCCCCCCAGCTGTATCAAAAGAGAAACACCTGCAGGAAACGCAGACATTTGCTGCATGTGTTAGTTTATGTTGTTGTTTAAAGTTAAAACTGTTAACATTGACAAAGATGAGAGTTTTATGTTTATTTGATGGTGATTTCAATTTTTTTTTGAAGGCTAAATACAAATAAAAGGTGAACATTAATTTATTTGTACAGTTTGTACAGTTTTTCTGAGGCTTTTGTATTGTTTATATCAATATTGAAATATATTGTTATCGACCGAAATTAAGAAATATATTGTGGTAAAAGTTTTGGCCATATCGTCCAGCCCTAACTCTACACTATTTGTTAACTTCTATTTATAGTCTTTGTAAACATCAATGTTTTAACTAATTTTTTGATCAAACCCCCCCCTGCAGTGCGACCAAAGTAAAGTGTTGGCTGTTTACCGCAGGCTAACATTACCACATATATTATGCAAATGAAACCTGTACAGAGAGTGTCTTCCCTCATAAAAAATGTATTTACTGTAAAAATGTGTATAGTATATCATGGGCTGCACAGGAGTTTATAAAATATATATTTTATCTATGAACAAATTGTCAGCTAGGGTAAAAAGAAACTGCTTGTTGGTCCAGCCTGTTTCCAGTGAGAAAGTGTGTTACAGTTCTTAATAACTCAAGTTACCTGACTAATTCTGCTTTCAGGTTCAACCACATATCTAAACTTTTAAAAGCCTTCAGGGTTTGCTTTGTTAGTTTTTTCTGACCCAGAAACAGGCCGATATCAATATCACAACCGTGATTTCTGGTCAGATTTTAAAGTCTGTAGTGAACTTGTTTTGTGGTAAAGGGCGTCGAGCCCTGTTAAGACCAAAGACCTTTAATTTATGATGACATTTAATTGTTTTTCTATTTGTTTTTGCTCCCAATGCCACAACTGACAACAGGAGCTCATTCTATATTAGACTACTGCATGAAAACATCTAGGACAGAAAAATAAATACCATTTTACTATCACAATTTTCTGTTTTCCATTCATGTTTTATTCCAATTCGTCTAGTTTGATTCAAATATAACATTTTGGTTATTTGGAGGCACTTCTAATATTTTGCCAAATGCATTTTATTTAAATATCTACTGACTCAAATTTCATTATAAATGCCACAAAACCACAGGATTACTCTGGACACATTCTGGTTTTAAGCCAAATGAAAAAAGATAATTTGGAAGAGACAGTTTATTGTGTTGGCAGCAAAATGATGGCAGTCAACTTCCAAAGGTGCTAACGCTATTCAAGAGTTAATTGTTGAATGCAATGAACAGAAACATGATGAGGATCTTAATGAAACAGTTTGTGCTTGATATAAAATCATCAACTAAATCTCCAGGATTTTGAAAGCTCTGACAATACTTTAAGGAACTTTAGAACAGAAATATGTCCATGCTAGAAGGGCTGCAGTAGTTTGGTGGTCAGTGCCGAGGTCTTGTGATCCTGATGCTTCAGGCTTAATCCTAGGTTGTGTCAGGAAAGGCATTCTTCATAGAACTTCAAGTTCAAATTGTGTTTAATTGTCATATGCAGGTTAACACAAGGTGAACAGTACAATGAAATACTTAGGATGAGAAGAACCGATTTGACTCGCTAAAAAATCAAAGAACAAACAAAACAAGAAATACTAAAGCATGCAATAAGGGTACAAAAATAAAGTACCAAAAAGTGAAAAAGTAATTATAATATTTACAACCTTCTAAAGAGAGATAGTAAACAACAACATGGTAGAATGTAACGGCGCAAGAAGGATGAATTTAAATGAATAAGTATTTCAAGGTAGTAATATAAGCTAAAATGCACATGTTTTATATATATATATATATATATATATTATATATATATATATAAATTTATATATATATATATTATATATACATATATATATATATATTATATATATGTTGTGTATATATATTATATATATGTTGTATATATATTATATATATATTTCACATAATTAAAATATACTACACAGGTTGTGTGACAGGTTATTGCACAGGTAGTGACATTGAGACTGAATTATGATGGTAAGGTTGATACATTAGTAGGGATGCACCAATCCACTTTTCTTTCACTTCCAATACCAGTATCTTCGGTTTCATATCGGTCGATACCGATCCAATGCCGATCTGATACAGAAAGACGGTGCTGAATTAAACAAAATGGCTAAATCATGTCATCTGGACCCATTTCTGAAACAGGTCTAGATGACATGATTTAGCCATTTTTGTTGTTGTCTACCTGGATGATTGAGCTTACAAACCCAGTGCTGTATTAACTTAAAACATTTTTTTTTTTAACGCAAACATTAATGTACTGAATTACAAATGTATTGAAAACTCTGCACCAGAACAGCACACTTAAACACACCAAGAGCTTCACAAGCTTGGTCAAACATGTAAAAACAATACAACTTTAGTTTGTTCAGTCATTACGCTAGCGTGTGATGTCACTCAGAGCACAAAGCATAGAATTAGAGTGAATAGATCTGCCCAGTCATGGATTGGTCACATTGTCACAGATACCCGATACAGAAGTTTTTTGATATTGGTACTGATACGATATTGGTATCGGATCGGTGCATCTCTACTATATCATACATGATGCAGCCTAGTATCAGCCTAGATACAGCCTACATAGTGCAGCAGCAATAAATAAACATATTAGCTGTCACAAGCTAATATTAGTCATATTAGTTGTCACAGATGTGGCTTGGTGCGATGGTACAGTTGTTCAGTGTTATTTATCAAGAGTTCAGTAATCTGACAGCTTGTGGATAATAGCTGTCCTTTAGTTTTTTTGTATGCGATGGCAAACTCCTGTATCGTCTGCCTGAGGGTCATAGACGGAAGAGTCCTTGTGCTGGGTGGGTGTGATCTTTAATGCTGCATGCTTTACGCAGACATTGACTGTGGTAGATGCCCTGGATGGTGTAGAAACTGTCAATTGTCAAATCTTTTATGTTAGTTTGCTCTCTGTGATGACTCCTGCAGAAGAGAACAGCTGAAAGAAAAAACAACACTATGGCCATGTTAGAGAATGGGTTGTGATCTTGTATTGGTCTTATAAAACAGACTCCAATGAATATCCTGATGCATGCTCACAATCCAGGTAGATAAAGCTAACAAGGTGGAATCAAGTCCTCTGGACGGATTCTTCTTTGTTGAAACGTTTTGTCTTTTATCCAAAAGACTTCTTCAGCACATGTAAGACTCAGTGAGCTGTTTTGATGCCTTTACCCACTGAGCATTTTTGTACACGAGCGGCTGTGGCTGAGTGGTTAGAGCAGTTGTTCTCCAATGCAAGAGTTGGGGGTTCGAATCCACCAGCAGTCACATGCCCAAGTGTCCCTGGGCAAGACACTGAACTCCTCATTGCCTCCAATGTGTGTCCCATCAGTGTATGAATGTGATCTAAAGCACTGATTCTTTAGAATTATTTGTTCATTTAGCTTTGCAGAGATCTAGTAGAGTGCTGTATGAATGGATAAATGAGGCACAGATTGTAGTGTAAAGTGCTTTGAGGATCTGGATAAGATAGAAAGGCGCTATAGAAATGCTGTCCATTTGCACAATACCTTCAGTTTGAGTCATCTTCAAAACTACCTTCTTTATTCCTTACGCTGTACACTCACTGACATCTGAGAGACACAAAGAGAATGAAGGAAGGTCAATGTCCATTCCAGGAACTGCTTATCTTGAGCGTTTTGTGTAGAAGTGTGACGTGTTTGACGCTGTTCACTCCCTGTGAAAGGAGACAGAAAGGTGGAGGTGAATAACCAAAACAAACAAATTAATTCATTCATAATAAATGCACAAGTTGTCTTCTATCTCTCAGTAGTTCTCAACCTAAATAAAACACTTTCAGCTTGTTTGTACATATTGGTACCATTACAAGGGTGATTTCATATGTAATTTGATTTGGCCTCTTATTT